AAGACCCAGGTAAATACATGAAGTTGTGGTCATTAGTACTGGTCACATCCTGGTTGCATCCTACGTTTAAATCATAATAAAAAGCAAAAATCACTCAAGCTTAACTGCACTTTTTAACAACTGTACAAGATGGTAAGGGGTTTACACTGTGCATTCCAAAAAATTGGAAGTGTTGAAAGTTTTTTTTGATGGGGGTTGTGTTCCTTTAGGTTGGAGTTTTCGCCGTTGCTCAGTACTGTCACTTGGAGAAGTTCAAGGCAACCTTTTTTCTTGTTTGTTTGTTTGTTCCTTGTTAATTTATTTACATATTTATTTATTGAAACTCTTGTGAAGAAACAATCCATGCCAACATCTGTTTACAAATCCATAATATTACTTTCAGATCTTGAATTCCCCTTAGTTACTAGCGTCGTTTTATTAACAGGAAAACCGCCGTATTGACATGATTTGCCACGGAGAGCCAGACGGTCACTCAGCTATGGCGCGCACAGTTGGGCTCCCTGTTGCTATTGCAACGAAAATGATGCTAGACGGTGAGTCGAAGAGTTGTTTACCACCTTGAAAAATTTTCTTGTCTTTGAAAAATGTGTAAGCAAAATTCAAAAGACGCAAGACGTCTACAAATTTCGAAGGAAAATTACCGAAATTACGTTATCGATAAACTCACGTGTGAGATTATGGAAAATAAACCACTCGGGTCCCGGATGTAGTTTTTATGAATTTTACGAGTGGTATATTTTCCAGTAAAACACTCGTGTCTATATAATAAATTTAATTATTTATTTATTTATCTGTCGATTTATTTTTATTTATTTATTTATCAATCTTGTCAGACCTCTTGGATATCCTTTGCATGGTATAGATAAAACAAATGTTTGCCTCTTATATTTTTGTTTTGTCGCAACAGGAGACTTGAAAGCCACAGGCGTTGTTCTTCCGCTAAATCGTGAGATTTACAAACCTCTTCTAACGCGACTTAGAGCAGAAGGAATACAAAGCCAGATGACCACAACAGTTTTATGAGAAGCAAAATGGTAAGGCAATTCCCTTTAATTCCCCGTCATTGATGTTGTCTGGTGTGGGAGATGGCAGCCAAAGTTGGAGAAAAGTAATGCGGTACGCTATTTATAGCAGTTTATATATTATTTTGTTGCAAAACGTCGTATTAATAAGTGAAGTATTTGTTGCGTGCGCAAACGTATTTGAACTCTGATGACAAACCCTTCCGATATCCTTAATTATTATTATTATTTTTAATCTCTTCCTTCAATACTCTCTGCGAGGGGAAGCCTGAGATCTGCAACGGTCGGTCGCCGAAAAAAAATAAAATAAGGATAGCCTTAACTGGAATAGTTGTATATAAATACAGGGATGAGTCTTTCCTTGTTTTCCTGGGACAAATCGTAGGCGTTTAGAACCGCAATTTTCTTAGGCCACGTTCACTCAGGCCACGTCCACACGTATCTGGATACTTTTGAAACCTCATACCTTTTTACACGAATCCTTCTATCGTCCCCACGAGCGAAACCAGTGAATCCCCTCACCGAAACCGCATCATGTTAAAACTGCTCTCCACAGAGATTTAACGCCCTATCCACACTATTCCGGGTGAAAAGATTTGCGGTTTCAGAAGTGTCCGGATTCGTGTAAACGGGGCCTTAAACACGGACAAAAACCTCGATCAAATACAGTCACACGATTGTCTTAAACACGAGCTTATTTCAGCGGCGGATTCAGGGGAGGCGCCCGGCCTTATTTTTAGACCAAACTGAGGCCCGGAGGGCCGAAAAACATTTTTTTGAGACCGGCCTCCCCTCCCCCGTTATCTCAGGGTCTGGATCGGTCACTGAATTTTGAATTTAATATTGCTGACTGGCTCTGTTTGGACTGTTTCCAAAAGTTACTTTACGCACTTCTGTAAGGCCCCGTCCACACGTATCCGGAGAGTTTTGCATCCGCAAATTTTTTTATGCGGATACAAAAATATCTGCGTCCACACGTAGCGTATAAGAATCGTATACGACCGTCCACACGTATCCGATTCGTATCCGGACATCTCAAAGGATTAGTCAATAGAGCATGCGCATTAAGACTGGTTCTGATACTGTGACGTCACCGTATACAAAATATACGGATACGAGCATCCACACGTATCCGGATACACAGAGTATACAGAAATTTCCACTCTGGAGAGCGTATACAGAAATCTCCGGATACACCGAGCGTTTATGGCGGACACGTGTGGACGCTAGGTGTATCCGCATAAAAAAATTTGCGGATACAAAAGTCTCCGGATACGTGTGGACGGGGCCTAAGTGTTGAATGGCAGATTAGAATGGCTTGACCGAATGGGTGTAGATGTCATTGCAGACTGTATATATTATGAACTGGGAAAACTTTATTTCCGTCCAATATTTTGCCATTATTGAACGTGGATTGTGTAAAGAAGAACTTCTAAAACTCTTTTGAGCGATAATTGTGATAATTGTGGCAGGTTATTTCCATGTTATTTTATGTTCTATTATTTATGCCTCATACCAAGAGAATTGATATGAGGCCAACGTGGTTGCTATTGATTATACGAGAAGTAGTGCTAGGTAGGTTTAATATAAAAAGTTGCAGTTACGACTTTTTTTTCTCTTTTTGTAGAGAATTATGAAAAAATAGCATTTTTTAAAATATGTTTTTAATTATTATGTAGCTCCGAACTACAACAGGTTAGAAACGAAGTAAGCAAAGTATGCCTCAAAGTCCATCTGTATTTATTTCGCCATAGTACCTAAAGGTGCATGGCATTTTGCACTTGTTGAAAATACTGTCTGTCTGTAATCGAAAGGGAAGAAATTCGTAATGCTTTCTAGCAAAGCAAAACTGTTGTAACATGTTTTATTCAAGTAAATACTCATTGACTGTTGTATTTCTTGTAAAAAAAAAAAAAAAAATTTTTATTGTAAAAGCCAGTAAATATTAAGGTACATAGCGCTTGCATTTTGCCTTTGGTAATAAAAGTGCTTTTCTATTCTAAAGTGGAAAGGTTCGTTTTTCATATATCACTGACACCTTATGGTGCGGACACTCAAACTGGGACACTTTGAGAAGATTGTCGAATCTTTTTCTGAAAACAAAAGATTCTCATTTTTTTTTTCTGCAAACGGACCAATAAAATTCAAGGTTCAACTATGTAACGGTTAAAAACTTTGAACTTACCTGACATCTCAGGAAACAGCTCTCAAATTTATGAATGTTGTTGGTCCGTTTGCAAAACCAAAACCATAAACAGACAAAAAAATAATTTAAAAAAATACTCGCTTGAATCTTTTGTTTTCAAAAAAAAAATTTTTGATTGGACAATCGTCTTCCAAGTGTCCCGGTTGGAGTGTCCTCACCGTAATTCCACCTGTATTAAGTTTTAGATATTTGTTTTTAGTAGCACTCTTGAAGTCAAAAGGAAGTTGACTGACTCGCTTTGGTTATTGAGTACCAAATTCTGTATTCAGAAATAGCCAGCGAATAGCTTTTCGTGTCAACATGAAAAGCTATCCGAGTAAAGTATGAATGGCAACGGCTCAGAAATGGAATAAGTGGCTCACACACATCGAACATCGCACCGGAGTGGCAGAAAAGTGCTATATGTGACGACCCAGTTTCAATATGGACGGGTCGCAGCTTTACTCCGTTACAGAAATTGCGCTGAAATCACCAGCCCTATCCGAATTGATTTTTTTGAATTTCAGACCCGTGACATACGTTCACCCTCCCTTCCTCCTAAGGGGGCTCTTTTTGCTGTTTACAGTACCCCTGTAGGGATTGCACGTGAGGTAGATTACCGTTCGCGAACATGGCGGTTCAACAACAAAGCTCAATTAGCTTTCTCAGCGGGTGTTAGATTAGTTTCTGTTGGCGAAAACCAATCTGACTAGCGCGGTAATTGCACTTTGATGAAAATTTACTGGTAAGAGTTATCACTTATTATTAATGTTTGCAAACGAGGTTGCTTTACTGCGTTGGTCATAAGTTCCCTCAAGGTTTTTTTTTTCCCTTAAACATGTACGCATTTGACGTTTTACTTTTAAAGTGGCTTTCGGTTTCAGCTCCATACATCACTTGTATTTTCCTAAGGTAGTAAATTATAAAAGAGAAATAAAAAGATTGGGAATCTTTCCATTTATATCATTAATTTATAAAATATTTATGAATATTCCACGTGGCTATCTAGGATATGATATAATTTGTATTTTATAAAGGAAACGCTATATAAACAACGGTTGTGTTAATTTATTCTGAACCTTTGGCATTCACATGAAAGCGAATGCATGAAACTTCATACACTTGAACTGCGGGAGAAAGATTTAGCAAAGATCATCGCAGAGAAAGCCTGAAACAAATCTGCGAAAGATAACTAAGAATTTATTTATTTATGTATTTATTCTTTTTTCATTTTGTTAACACAGTCGAACATTTTCGTAACGACTTCCTTCACCTTCGTGTAGAGGTCAAGACAAGACGTTTGCGGGGATGTATTAAAATAGCGGCTCTTGTGAAGAGGCCGCCGTATCAAACCTAAGTCATCGTTTGATCCGCTATTTCATGAGATATGATTGATTTAATTTGATTGGTCGGTCTGGTGACTTTTAAGTTCTTAATTGTGTTTGTGGTACTGGTTAGCGTCTATACCTTTGGAATTTGGCGAGAAACCTTTAACTTAAACCTCAAACTGTATATTATAATCATATTAAAATGTAAACACCACACAAAACCGTGGGAAAAGTTACTGTTTAATAAACAAATTGGGTCATTAACACCATGCCAATGACAGACTTAATACTGGAGTATGGCTGAACTAATAGAACGAACGAAACCAGAGGCTTTACAAATTGTACACAAGGCATTTGTACCTTTGGACTTATAATAAACAATCACATTATTAGACGATAATTTAAAAAGCAGGTTAAACGGTTTCATTGAAAAGTATTGTCTTTCCTTAAGAAAATGTTGATGAACACTCATTTATTGTACCCCCTGCTTATATAGATATTGCAATTACTTTAAAATGCGTCCGGTTGCAACGGAGGGGGGTCAATGGTAATATCGGCGATTATGCTTTTCAGATGACTGAAAACACAGCTGCGAAGTTTCATTCTTTTGCCCACTCTTCAAGAGTATCAACATTTCTCCACGGAGTTAACAAACAAAGAGAAGCGAAACGTTTCTTTCACAATAACGTTGAAGACTCAAACTAACTCTAACTCTCATAACAATAAACAGCGAACGTTACCTCGACTTTCTCTTTATTGAACACCGGCCAGTTTTGCAATATAATTCAATTTGTTTTATTTCATTTTAAGTTATTCTCAAAGTTTTATTTCACACAGTTTTTATCGTTTTAAGGAATCTTTTCATTTTTCTTAAATATTTGCATACACGACAACCTCGCCTTAGGGTTAACTACTAAATTGGTTTTATCACTTAAACCAACATCATAAGCAAACTTTTGATCTCTGTTGATAATCTTGAGAAAATCAAAATCGCCGCCAGGCTTTACCGAAGCGAGCAGCTTATATACCTTAGCATTTATTAGAAGTTTTTCTCATGGTTTAAAAGTTTTTAGCTGCCCTTGGCACACAGAAGAATTGGCCAAAAAAGGACAAAAGAAACGTTTTAACGTCATTTCTATTTTATGATTTGATTCTTTGGCGCGGATTCGCTGACTGAAAATTAATTGTTTCAGACATTTCATGTGTTTACTTTTCCTTTGTTAAACAAAAAAGCGTTTGTTTTCAATCCCTCGCACCACGTGTATAGACTACCAGTTACATTGCGTATTTTGTGTGCGATGAAGGTTATTGCACTTAAAGGGGATGATTTCTTGTAAAGTCTGTATTTCTGACTCTTAACGCGCCACACGGCAGATCATGGCACGGATCTAAAATCACTATTGACGATCAGTTAACTGCATTTATTAATCTCATCCGCTTATGAGAGCAATTTGCATTACAATATGAACAGATCGCCTCGAGTGTTTGTTTTGGTTTTTCATACCCTCTCACTGCTGCTAATAATGGAACCTTTGTGTCATTCATGACTTCTATGATCTTCTATCACCGCCGGCATTGTGTTTTCAAGTCAATATTAAGTAATTATTTGAAACGGCGATGTCAACACGGCCATTTATTTTGTAAACATATAAACACTCTTTTTATCCACGCTGAAAGCGGCCACCATGTTGTTTTAACGAGAAGTAGTCTGGCGCGAAACGCTTATTTGTTAACGCCAAACGTTCTAAGACCACGTTGTGCTCGATGACTCGCGGCATTGATTTCCTCTGTTCTTGCCGCCCCCATAACATTTAAGTCCACAAACACCTCTGACACTTTGGAAATACGACAAAGTGTTATCAAATAATCTATAATAGCCCCTTGTTAAACGCATTTCAAGTGCACCCATTTTTTCAATCAACGCTCCTGAATACATTTAAGCATAACGTTAAAAATAAGATTTGAAAAATTCTGTCTTTGTAACCCTGATGCACAGTGAACAGAAACCACAGAACAATGTGCTGTAAAAGTAGTGATTTATTATCCTTCTAGATTGCAACTATAAACTTCATTATAGAGTCATTGAATGTAACGACATTTCTTCAAGATAAAAAAAGTGACTATTACTGACTTTGACTACACAGCCAAACCGGTGAAAACTGCGATGTATTTTTCTCTCTTTACACTTAATAATAAATTAATTCAGGTTGGTTTTTCATGCTTTAACAGGATACAACGAAATTACGATAAAATTAAAACAAACTAGATTTTATTGGTGATGTTTGTGAAGTTCAAACGATCAGTACACTACGATGTCTAATGACCTAACAAAATGGTGTGGCATTCGTTCCGTACAAGTTAGACGTTATTTGAAAAATCTCTGAAATCAACGTTAAACAAAGTTCAATTTTCAGTGATCTATTTTTTTTTTAAATAAAACGATTTATTGTCTGTGGTCTAGTGTCTAGAATCAGCATTCTTTCATTGTTCCTCACGGTGAACGCGTCTCTAAAGTCTTCCTCCCGCCAAATTCACGGAGGACTCTAATCTCTTCCAAAATAGGCGTAGTTACAAGCTTAGCTCTTTCTTATATTATTCAGTAAATATCTAGATTGTGCAGTTCTAAGCATAATTAATCCCCATTACATTGTCCTTCTGTGCTACTGGAGACATGTACAAACACGGATGAAAGGTAGACGATTGTAAACGCGTACTGTAATTCCTGAAGGCTGAGTTGTCTTGCCAAAGGAAACCGTACGGTGGAGGTGGAGTTGAGAATCCTTGGAACTGGTTTAGGGGGTAGCGAGGCGCCTCTGGCTCTGCGCGACTGAAGTATTCATACCTCGGAGATGTTACTCCAAATGGACGTGAAAAAGTCTCAGGAGAATGAGGCTTGGAAAAGTCTAAACTAGAAGGCGGCTTGTGGGGATACGGGAATAAGCTTGCGGATATTGGCAGTCCAAGCAAGCCTCTGTCTGTGGCACAACTCAGGGAATGACTGCAGCGTGGTCTTCTTGGTTTTCTAGGTCTTCGATAGTTTCCTTTTGAGAACTCGGGTAAATCTTTTGGGTGGATCATCCAGTAATGGCCCTTTCCATTCTCTGCTCTGCTCGCCTTGACGAAACAGTCATTACTGGACAGATTATGGCGTACACTGTTTCTCCAGCCGGGGCCCTTTTCTTTGTCGAAGTGTGGAAATCGTTTAGAGATGAAGTTGTAGATCGAACTAAGGGTCATCCGTTTTGAAGGTACGCTTAATATACCCTGAGCTATTACAGCCACAAAGGTTTCACTGAGGTTGCGAGATTCTTTGGACTCCCTGGTGCTATCTTCATCTTCATCTTCGCTACTGCTGATACTCCTTGTTTTCTTCCGAACCGTCTGCCCTTTCGAGGACTCCACCTTTACATCTTTGGACATCGCTCTGCTTGACAGGTTTGTCTGTGTTTCTAGTCGTGAAAGCGGCAGCTGTCTGAAATTTCGTTCATCTTCCTTGCAAGGAAACCTGTAGGTGCTGACATCAAGGCTGTTTTCCTCGTGGCGGCCGGAGTGAATGCTAAACATTTCGTAGCTTCAATTGTGAGATCTTGCAAACCAAGTAAACGTTGAGGTCTTAACTCGTGGGGCTGTTGTTGACAACTTATGTAGTCTTAATGTGCCGAAGTCTTTATGGGTCGAGCTTCTTTCTTATTAGGCAGAACCGCATTGATGCTCTTAGCAGGGGGTTAGGAAACGCCAAGCGACAGATGCACTGCTAATTTGTATATGAAATAGCGGTCGAATTGAATATATCTCCGTACCTTGCGGCGTTCATACTTACCGAAGCGTTTCTGGGAGCTTACAGTTCTGAATCGTAAGGAACAGAAACCTTTGCAATGCTGTATCAGTCTATTACCCTTAGGGAAGTAATTGGCAGCCTGCTGGCTTGGGTCAGATGAAGCTTTGATAAACCTACTGTTAGGCAAGCGAACGGTTATCAGCAATCATACTTCTAGCAACAACCAAAATAACAATAAAAATCGATAAAAAAAATAGCCATAATACGTCGGAAAGACTTTCAAAGATACGTTCATATAGAAACCCACATCTTGATCGGGCTTATGTTTGAACTGTAACACTTAGCCTTTCATCTAAGGAATTAAGAGGCAAACTCAACCTACTTGGGTGATAAGGGCCAAGACGTGTTTATAAAAAGCTGACAGCTGGGCTTTTCTTCACGGCTGGAAGGGCAGAACGTCCATTGTAATGCACACTGCCTGAAGAACTGGCGTAACGAAGCAAAGGAAATTGAAGTTACGTTTGCTAGAGAAAAGGCTGGTAACACTTAATCAGTGTTAGGTAAATACCTGAAAAACAGGAAACGTCAAACAGTGTTTTGCTGCTCCTAGACCACAATTTGCGACTCTGTAGTCATGAAGTGTGCAAGGTACTGGGTGGGTGGGGTGGGTAGGGTGATTGTTTTAATCGTAATAATTGGGGTTGTTTGCCAAGGTTGCCTTTTCTTTTAAGAGCCCTTTCAGACGTCATTAAACATCTCAGTGGTTTATTGCCAAATGACCTTGACTGGGTTGATTATAACTAAGCGTAAACAAACCAACCTGCCTTGATGCGTTTGAAAGTGGCGCGTTTCTTTTTTGTTGTTAAACGTTGTACTTTGCAAGGGAGTAAGAAAAAATAGCAGGTAGGAAAGTGCAACGAGACCAAGATGTGCCAAGGGAGTGGGAAATGGTGTTCGTTGTCTTGGAGTCGTTTTAAGGGAGTTCGTTTTATCTTACTTGTAACATGTAAATTTATCTTAACATGACCGAAAAACGTTTTGAATCAATTGTAAAGCTCAAGCCCGAGAGAAAATATTGAGAGGAAAGGGCTAAATTTAATTTTTGCCAGTATATGAAACAAAGGTAGAAAAAATGTATTTAAAAATGCGTCTTCTTTTTTCATTGACAAACGCCAAAAATTCTCCATAGAAATGAAAATAGAGGTGTATAGTCAAGCCTTGCTTGTCTCTGTAATCCTGGAGTCAAGAACGCTAAAGTGTTTTCATCTTACTGTCATTTCAAAGGCATTGTCTAGCGATTGGGTCAACATAAATAGTAATTTTTATTAACTCTTTTCTTTCCTTTAATTTACGTTTCATCGATCAGCGGTTGAATTGTACTCTATAAATAACTTACCTTACAAGATTCCCACGAGAATGTTAAGCAAACCATGGAGTTCATAAACTACTAAACAAACCGTATGTTGCAGACAATTGTTAATATTTTTGTTTAGAAGAGTCTTGGTCATAACATCACTACACGAAGCTATTACGTCGTCAACACCGTATCAGTGTTGATTGTCTCGATTGCAGACATCGTATGATGCCATGATGACAATGCACTATGGCTGATTCAAGTGAGTGCTCAGGGACACAAGATTATAGAAAGCTACACCACTTTGAAAAGCTATGTTATGATTTTTCTGTATTACTTTAAAACCCTAAAAACACATTGGGATTAAATAAAACCCTGAAATAATGGTTCATTTTAACGCACAATTACTCTACTGACCGTATCTCAACTATAAGTATGTATGAATTTGACATTCGAAAAGCCAAGATGGAAAAGGGTGCAAACTGAAAAAAAAAAAAAAAAAATGGGCAACGTTTTCAATTGATCTCTTGTGTTGCCGAAAAATGACTAAAACACGATCTTGCTTTGTTTCTCCTCCTTTAGCGTTCCAAGTATGGGAAAAGGTGGCTGAGAGTACTTAGTTAGAGTTTCAGATCAGATTTGACCGAAAACTGTGGAACTCGTCATGATATAGCTCCTTTAAAACTTCCAAATTATATCACGGCTTTCACAGAGAAGTAAAACACGCCACTTTAGACGCAAAGGTGGAACCCTAATCTGGAACATCCCTTAGGCACTAATTTTCCACATGAATTTGCACACTTGAGAAATTCATCCGCTGACTCAGAAGTTGGAATCACCTTGTGTATTCTTTAACATAATAGCAAATATTGCGACTGGAAAATGTTCAGTAATTTTCATTCAAATGTTTAAGCGAAAATAGGATTTCATCCACAGACTCAAAAGTAAGAATCTCCTTTAACTGTATTTTACATAGTACCACGGGAAAGTATAGCTCAGTGTTAGGGGTCATTAGATTGATCAAATTTAGGCATTATAATCATAAAACTCAAAGGGTTGTTGTTTGTCGACTATACCAAAAATAACGATCATTTTAATTGAGCCAGACACCTTTCTCCACAAATTATTCCCAAGTAGACAGTAGTTCTACTCATCTCAAAAAGAGCAGTTCTCGTCACTGAAATTTAAAGGCTATTACCACTCCGTGGAAATACATTTAGCCAGACTCTAGGATTACATATGCAGGCCTACCTTGCACAATTGAATTTTATCAGACTTTGTCAAATAGAAAATTAATAAACTTTCCAGAAGCTTTCACCTGAATCTTCATACACTTAGGATTGGTATCCTCATATTCAAAGTTAGAACCGCCTTCAAAAGCGTAATGAACAGACAGATAGAAAGCTCTGCTCTGTAAATTTTACTCCAACCGTCAAGATGATTTCATTCACAGCTGAGTACCGTAACTTTTTTCAGGACCATAAACAGGGGAGGCGTGTGATGGTAACGTGATAGACGGTGCTTTTAATAAATTCATTGCAAACGAAAGACTTGGTAAACGGCTGTCGCCTTAGAGAAGAATGAATACCAAAGGGTAAAAGGTGGGGTATGCTAGTTAAAAGAATCATTTTATTTCAGATTAAGTTTTAAGATCCTGCTCAATAGCAAAGGAACAAGAAAACAGTCTAAAGGTAATTTTTTATGATGCACCACAGTCAAGTTATACGAACACCACGTACGTCCACTGAGTTGCTGTGGTAGAGACAAATTGACTACAGCATTCAGATGACTTTATAATGCTAAAAGTTTCCTTCCCTCTTTGGTAAGCTTAACTCTTGTTGTTTCAGAGTTAAAGAAGTCTGATTGCAGCATTCCCTTTACGAACTAAAGACTAAAAATCAACAGGTAAATGGCCCGATTTCCCACCAATTGAATTGCTTCGATGACCCGAGTACACTGTATATGCAGTTAACAAGGAATTTTTCAGGCCATATAATGACAAATTTTGTTTTCATTGTTTTCTAGCAGCCGAATCAGGATATACAGCAGATAGGATAAATATGCACATGAAAAGTACGTATCGGCAACCAAATGACGTCATAAAATTAAAGATGGCAGTACGAAAGAAATAGGTGCGGTTTATGTGTAGTTATTATCATCATTATTATTATTATTGTTGTTGTTGTTGTTGTTATCAGTTATTAGGGGAAAAAATGAAATTTTTGAATTTCATCGTGTAACCTAAAGCCAGCGAAAGACCAATATTCATGGGACTTACAGCCATCATCCAAATGGCACTAATTCATTAAAGGTTAGTTGACCTCTAAAAAATTGGAATGAAATCTCAGACATGTCCAATCACAACGATTTCTGAAAACAAAAGATTCTCAAGTTTTTTTGCAAACGGACCCATAACATTCATGAATTTGAGAGCTGTTTCCTGAGAAGTCAGGTAAGATCAAATGCTTTTAAAGTTTTCAACGTTCACATAGTTGAATCTTGAATTTTATTGGTCACTTTGCAAGAAAAACTTGAGAATCTTTTGTTTTCAGAAATCGTTGTGATTGAACAATCTTCTTCCAAGTGCCCCAGTTCGAGTAGTCGGTCTGTAAAAGATAGATATAGTTGACTACCTTTCATGTTACAACAACTGATCAATTCAAAATGGCGTTTATTTATGTTACCAATGGGAACGTCACTAGAATCACTTAACTTCATTTTTTTGGTGATCAATCGAACTTATGGGGCAATAGGACATAAATTTTGCATAAGTTCAGGGGGAAAGCTATATGTGAACTTTGTGACTTAAATTTAATGACTGAAGAGATTTTTCATGAGGAAATTCATCTTCTAGAAGCAAAGTCTTCACGTTACATGACGCGTTTGATCAGATGGCCGAAGAAATCAGTCTTAATGTAGATGAATAATCTGAATGTATATGAAATAAAATTGGATGACGAATGCAGTAAAGAAAGTACGCTAAATGAATCAATCAAGAAGTTCGTGGACAAAACGACTGGCACCACTTTGACTTCATGACTCTCTCCCTTCAACTGCCGTTGTTATGGGTCGTTCAAGTCCTAAGTGAGCACAGAGCTAATTAATTTAAAAGGGAATCCTACCTCTTAACTATATTATTAGTACATGCCACGTCGCTGTCAATGTTGCCGTTACTTTCGACATATGAGCAATGTCGCGGGAGTTTCATATTTTTCATTGTCCTCTCGAAACACATGGCCCATTTAAAGTGCTTTTAAGTGCTTATAAGAGAAACGTTTTATTGCCCGGATATTGCTTGTCAAGCCATGAATCAAGACTACCGTTTAAAGTAGCGATGTTTCTTAAAGTTGTCGTTCAATTATATCCGAGATGGGATCATTCAAAGGAGTAGCGATACGATAGGTGAAGCAGATTTTACCACACAAAAAAACC